ATTAACAATTGTCGAGGAGTACACCTTTTTCTTTGAATATCAGTAGAAGTGAGCATAAAGCCTTACCAGTGAAATACATCTTGAACGTGCGCATTGTATGGCGGAATGCAGAACAATCGTTGAGTTCTAGGTTATGGAAACGGACCCCCATATGAAGTATTTATGCAACCCGCCTGCCCTCTTGTTATAAGCTACCGGCAAAGGGTGGCAGCGGTGGGATAACCCACCAATCATCCCCCTCTAAATTGAGCATATCACCTACTCCAACGAAGGGTGGTGAATTTTCGATGGGTCTGCGAGGAGTTAGAGTTGATGTCGACAGCCTGGTCTTAAAATTCCTGCCAAACTTGGACTTGGGGACGGGTAACCTGAGAAGATGGGATGGGTGATTGGAGGGGAGATGGAGTGTTACATGGTTAGGTAGGAGATTTCTAGGAGAGGGGGTGGATAAAGGGAGAGAGAGAGAGAGAGAGAAAGAGAGAGGCCTGGAGTGAGGTTGAATATGCATAATTAAGGTGAGAATGTGATGATGAATTCATCAAGATGGAGGGAAAGAGAAAAAGAGATACAAATGAATGAGAGGAATATAACGGACAAGCAGAGAGACATGTCAAAAGAGGTGGGGGACAGAGAAATGCGGAAAGAGAAAGAGAGAGAGAGAGAGAGAGAAAGAGAGAGAGAGAGAGGGGGGGGGGGACTTGCACACAGACAGACATACAAAATGCAAACTGCAAACAGATAGACACGATCGGACTCTTTTCCAGGAGGGGTATAGTCACGGTTGTAGAAAACAAAAGAACTGAGATGAAATTGTGCTCTGAAAACGTGTGAGGCAATGACAGCTGTTTCATCTCAAAATATGAAATCGGAGAGAACGTTCCGAGGAGTGGGATTTATGCCCTTTTCTGTTGTGTCCACTCTTTCATGATACGCGAGGGAGGCGATGTCTTTGTATTTTTACCCCAATTCTAAGGGACCAATGATGGAAAACACCATATTTCTATTTGCCCTGCACACCATCTTTTACAAGTTCGGGATAATCTTGTTCGTTGTTTATTGAACTTCGGAAATGTAAAAAGTATTTGTTTTGTATTATGGAGCACAAAATGGGTATGAAAATATTTACAAGGCATTTTCTAGTTGGCGAAAATTGCTAGACCAATATTCTTTTGGAGAATGAAAATGCCATTTTCCATCGATAAATAGAACAAATCAGAAGTGGGAGAACCCAATTTTCTTTGTTGAACACGTTTACTTGTTGAGGAGGAAATTTTGCATGTAATAAACTTTACAATATGTATTAAACAACAGTTTCTTTGAATAACATGAGAATCCATCAAGACACATCAAATCTGTTCTAATTCAGAATAGAATTACTAAATTACCCCAATTTCGATGAAATTCCAGAAACGGAAAGAATACACCGGCTGGCAAAACATTACGTTTTCGCTCTTGCCCTCTGTCATTATAATCTTCCATGTCATATAATAATAATTTTCACAGCGAAGTCTGTTAACCCACGGGGTCAGGGAGGTGTGGTGAAAGTCTCCTCGAGCCTCGGGGTCCAGGTGCCATCACTATTCCGTTCACTTTTCCTTTTAGCTCTCCAGCTTGTGTGTTCAAGTGTAATGTAATGAGTTGGTTGCAGTGCTATGTGTGGTGTCACGTCGGGAGAAGGAAAGACCGAGACGATGGCAACAGATGAGAGATGAAGAAGAATGAGAGGAAGGAACTGATAATAATAACTGAAAATCTTTTGATAGATATAAAACAAAATTTAATGTAGTTACTGAAAATAAAAGATTCTATTATACTATACTAACATCGGGATTTCACCCATTAGCAATATCATTCTATCATCTTTACCATTTTGCTGAATTGGCCCAAAATAGAATTGTTGCTTAATATATCATGTATATAACCCTTCACGAGGTCTTAATGATTATTATGTAGCATAATTATTACAATTTTTTTATATGAAACTCAGATCTAATACACATTACAATCATAAATTTTGTACTCATATTGCACAAGTACTGGCATTGGCTTTCAGTTTGCAAAACAGGACGATTGAAAACAGTGTTGATGACAGCTATATTATATAACGTTCTCCGATGATGTTTTCATTCGCCGAAATATGATGACATTTTATGACACCATAACCCGTAAATGTCCTACAGATTTTGACGTTTTCGATCAATTTGAAGACGCATTTTAGACAGCTGTTGTTTTTAGTGGGCAAGTAGATTTTACGGCGTGTTTGGGTTGGAAAATATTGGTGCGACTATTAAAGATTTTTTTCAGAAATCAGAACGCGGTTCAAGATTTTATCCCTCGAAGGTTGTTCTTTTTTTTATTTTTTATTTATTTCACTTTTTTATTCAGGGTAGTCTGTTCAGTATACAAAAAATAAAAACCTGGTCTTCCACAGAGCTCTGATTATGGCTTATGACAGGTATGCGCAACAACATCGGTGCCTTTAATCCCCACTCTCTCTCTCTCTCTCTCTCCCTGATATGAGTTCATTCATATTCAGTGATACCCCAAACCCCATTTTGGAGCAGACTCGGGATAATTTGTATCCATATGGATAAATATGTTTATCTTAGGTGTATTCTTATTTCTTGTACTTGTCTAAAGTTTCATCCTAGAAATAAGAATTAAAAAATATAAAAAGGGAGCATAGTCTTTTTCGCAGCTGGAACTTGGAATACCTGACTGTTTTATTTGTGGTGGAATGTTTGTCGTCGAGAAAGACAAGATTTGTTAACCACCTCTCACCCTCATTCCACCACAAGTCAACTGTTTTAAGCCGCACCCCATGAAGCTGTTCAGAGGACTCGTGATATGTAGTAGGCCGCACACTCTAATTCTATGTCAGGGACTGTTGATGTTATCTCCGTCGCAATTCTGACCCAGAAAATGAGACGAAATGCGTTCATTGTCCCCACACCGACAGAAAAAAAACCTGGAAAGCATGTCAATCTAATTACAATCTGGCTGTATGGGTGAGAATCAGAGCGAAAAAGAGAGATGAATCGTCTAGCTCCTTTAGAAATAGAAAAATTGAGACAGTCGGCGGGATTAAATCATTTACATGTTCTAAGATACAAACACGATAACTGCGAATATGCTGAATGGGGCTATTAGCGGGATCGGAGCCGGATAAATTGCTAGGAACATAATGGCACAATTATTAGTCCGTAACCCACCCTTTTAGCCCACGGACCTAAACTGCATTAATCCCTTCATTACGAAAACTGCAACCTGTAATGACATTATCAGTTGATTTATTGCCATTAATATCCAAACGAGTTAAGCAGTCATCAATATCATTTTCAGCTTTTTCATGAAGTTCCTTTGTAAAGATAGAAATCGGGCCAGTGTTTTGTGAGTCGATTTTTGTAAATATATGGGATGCTTTAAGCTTATCTGCCATAGTTTACAGGAGGGATTAGATCGCCTTGCAAGGTCACTGGACAGGTGGTTATCTCATCAACTTTGCCATCAGTTAACATAAGAAAAAGAGGATCATGGGGGACCAATGGTCACCGATTAGGCATTGTTTGTTATATAGAGGGCGCAAGTAGCTACACGTAGTGCAGTGGGCCTTTAAGGAGGTGATAACGAAGAGGCCCGCTCTCTTGAACTTTAGGGGTATTATTCATTGGTGGAAGATTATTGTGTGATGGCATTTTCCGAAAGTCATTTGCGATGATTTGTCAATACGACAAATGTAAACAAGACTGAATAATACATGCCCCCGGGGATTGTGGTAGAGATAATAAGAGAGAGAGAGAGAGAAAACGGGAGAATGGATGTATGGAATAGCCTTGAAAATACAAAAATGAATGGCAATAGGTCAAATATAGGAATAGAAAGAAAGGATATAGATCATTAACGATCATTAACAATTATCAATTTTCAGAGAGCAGAGCGGAAAAAGCAGTCGTTAGACCTTTGTGGAAATAACTCTGAACATATCCATTTCAGTGTCAAGATCGATATGTTTAAAAGGAAGGGGATTATTTAAAAAAAAATGACTACCACCACAAGAAGAAGAAGAAGCATTTAGGAAACTGGAAAATAGAGATGGGTTTTAGTATTCTAGATTCAATAGCATTTTTTGGTTGATCAATCATGCATTCCTTAATAAGAATGTAATTCCCAAATAGACGGACTCTGTTTTAGTTCAAGACTAAGAAGTGTAATAGCACATTATATTTGTTATGTCATGCGCTATATCGAATACGATCACAAAGACTTTCACAAATTGAACTCAAGGCCTATTTGAGTACCATATTGAACTCAAGGCCTATTTGAGTACCATATTGAACTCAAGGCCTATTTGAGTACCATATTGAACTCAAGGCCTATTTGAGTACCATATTGAACTCAAGGCCTATTTGAGTACCATATTGAACTCAAGGCCTATTTGAGTACCATATTGAACTCAAGGCCTATTTGAGTAACATATTGAACTCAAGGCCTATTTGAGTACCATATTGAACTCAAAGCCTATTTGTGTACCATATTGAACTCAATGCCTTTTTGAGTACCATATTGAACTCAAGGCCTATTTGAGTACCATATTGAACTCAAGGCCTATTTGTGTACAATATTGAACTCAAGGCCTTTTTGAGTACCATATTGAACTCAAGGCAGGCCTATTTGAGTACCAGTGCCTAAAGTAATCATCTTCGGAATACGTAATACGTCATTGTCAGGTTCGAACATTTTCAACAGGTGATGCACAATGCTATTGAAATTGCTATATAGGTGATCTTTTGAAAGGTCTTTGCAATCGTTTTAATGGAAACATTGGAATTCAACAGTTTGAGCGCTCAGCAGAGGAGTTTTCTTCTTCTTCTTTGACTGCCGCAGTTGTCTTTTGTCTCGCGTACAATGTACATATAATTATGTACATTAAGGAATTTGATCCATTGCGAATATAGAGTTAATACATACTGTTTTCTGTCTTTCTTCTCCACCTGTTGTAGGAGGTGACGGACGGAATACTCTCGGGGAAAATCTCATGTCGTAACATCAAATGTCCTGACATCACATGTCCCAATGACGAGGACCCAGTCATCAAAGATGGCTTCTGTTGTAAGACCTGTCCGTCAGAAGGTAGGATACATTTTTGAACATAATTTTCCCCACCTTTTTATCGTGAGTGTTTACTTTGCATCTATGTATATATTTTGTATATGTTTTTAATTATTTTATTTTGTTAGCCTTCTTGAAATAAATAACATTACCAGAAAAATGTTAAGAATAATAAAAAGTGTTTGCAAATGACATTTGTTTTTATTTGATTTATAAAGGAATCTAACATAGCACTTATGTGACAATGAAAAGAAGATAAACCAGTTGGAATGTTCTTTGTGATTCAGACTTTGTACAGGGTGATTGAATTATTTGCATTCGATCGAAAACATGTTTCAAGCAATCTATTATCACTATACACTTGACGCTTTATTTCAATGTTTGATTTTATCTGTTTTGTCTATTCAAGATATTGATAAAGAAAAGCCCATTCAAACCAACGGATCGAGCGAGTCTCACCGGACATACCCCGACGATACGGCATCTACAGAGGGTACAGATGATACTTTACAAGGCGAAGGTAAAATCCTAATAGTTAAATACATTTCCAGATAAAGATGGCACTATAAGTGTATGAAATTGATTATTGATGTACTCTTAAGTCAGTCCTATATATTCATCAATATTGTGAATAACCTCCAAGTCCTTCTTAGGTTTACAAACAAATAGCTTTAGTGTAATGGTTCAAAGATTGGTTTAACAGATTTTTGGCTTATTTGTTTGATGTCTTTATATATAAACATGAACGTTCATTATAACTTTGAGGACTGGTATGTTGATGGGCGAAATTATAAGTAATAATATTAAGGTGTTCAGATCAAGACAACTGGAGCTAGAGTGAGTGTCCTATTTGATCTCTAATCAGCGTGTTTTGTTCTGCATTGTGTTGTGATTTGCAGCTTTCGTATCCATTTTGTCTGGTCGTTTGACATCGGCGAACACCAGAGCAGTTTCTCGAGGATCGTTTCTTCTCATGAACAACAATCTCCACTTCACAATGCATGTATCAAGGTAAGATTAATCGAGTATTTAATATGGATAGATGATCATCCCCTCTCTCCCAATAGTACAGCTGCTTATTTTCAACGCTGGTAAAAGAACTCAATAATGTTTATGTGATAGGAACACATTGTTTATATCATTGAGTAAACCTGTTGCAATTGTAATCTGGTAAGATCCTTGGTACCACAATCTAAAATGACTCTTTAAATCTCATACGTGTGGATTTGTACCAAAATGTTCACTATAGTAGTCCTTCTCTGCCAAGTGCCAATCATATACATGGGGAATCTTTTACATTTTGTACAAGCATATTAACCAAAAACGTGTTTTCTATTCAAATCTTACACGTCGGGAAACCTTAGAATCTTTCATAAAATGTTGACAAAAGTGTTTTTATCCTCACTTTTGCAGACTTAGTACACCTCTTGAAGTTGTCTTCACAGGCGTACTCAATACGACGCTTCACGTCCATACCGTTCGCGATGTCGATTCAGATACGGTGAGTTTTGAAGATTGTAAACATTTTATTATTTTAATAAAAACACTTCTGAAAATATAAATCCTATTTCAGTTTACCCTTATATTCTCGTCACATTCACTTCTCTTTTTCTGTTTAATTTTCGTATTCTTGTGGCCAATTTATGAGAGGAAACATTTTGGTATTACTTTCAAATAGATTTGTGGAGAGTGGAGGAACGTTCCACAGATTGTCTCACGTGATCTGCGCAATAGAAACATTTTCGTCACACTGACCACCAGGTCACATGAGCATGGGGAGGTCAGAGGTCGCCTTATCCCGCATCGTGCACTGTCTACAGGTAAATAACGTGGTGACCGGTTCACGAAACTGTCCTATGTGCAAGTTTCAGACATCCCATTGAAGCATGTGTTAATTTAAATACACGTGTATCAAATCGATGTTGGCGAACTTGAACTTTGACGGTCTCGTGAAACGCAGCACTGATCACAATCTCTTTCATTAATACTTCTGAACTGGTAATGACAATTTCCAGTAGATACACATCGGTTGGTCTTAAAATTCGATCCTGGACTTGGTCTTTTATTTTCTGAGGGTCAATGGAAAACATTTCCTCCTAGGCATTATTATAAGAAGTGTTATGTGAAAGGTTTTCACCACCAAAAATGCCGATCCTTACTTCATGAAGCTTCATGAAGCTGCTTAATAATTTGACTTACGTTTTATTGCAACTGGCCCGGGGGGCTCTTACACAAAAAGCTGCGTAAGGATCGAGTATTTGAAACTTGCATTTAATTTTTGGAGTTGACTTTATACTCAGTTTGTATGCAAAAGTATCCTGTACTCGTTTAATGAAAAGGTGAGACAGTGGCCAAACTATATCCACTGCGGAGGAGACTAGCTTATTAACCATTTATTCATTTCCGTCAGAGAACCCGCCACTTACCTAATGATACATCGCGAGGCGGTATAATTTTGGACATGACTTGGTGATTTTTCTGTTTTTCATTGACGATAAAATTGAGTGGCTTAAAATACCGAAACTTACGAGATCATTTCTAGAGTAGGTGAAGTGAGGCCTTCTTACAAAACAAGGCACGGCTTTGTTTATGAACAGAACTGATTTTTAAAATAACATCCTGTAATGTCGATTGACAGAGCAAAAATAAGAAAGCAAAAGGAGCCATGTTTAATTTTTGGTACGGGGGGGGGGGGGTTCTTTACCTGTCAAAAAGATGGAATATTAATAGATTATCCCTTTGATTAAGTTATCTATTATTCAATTTAGAATGGAGAGGGGGAGCCTCATGCTTTTAATCCGATGTGACCTGCTGCCAATTTGATGTGCTTTAATGCTTTCATCCTGTTTACACCATTTGCCATATTTCATGAGTTTAGATGATCTTATCATTAAAGATTATACAAAATAATATGGAAGTGTCATGGGTGAAAAAGCACATCATTAATGATGATTTGAAAGACGTTTTCATTGAGTGTATTGGTAATCTGTACCAGCAGTCTCTGTCATGTCATAAACGGTTTACATTTTATATCACGAATTAATTTACTTGTGTGGTCCTCAAAGAAAACGTAATTGTTGATGATTTGTAGTTACTAAATAAAGTCATTTACACTTGTATAGATTGCACATAATGCTTTTGACGTCAGAGCTATGTATTTTCTAAAAAGCAACATTTCTTTTGTGGTTAAAGTATTGTTTTATGGTAAATCAATAACAACAATAAGGAAATTATGTTTTATTTCTGTTATTATTCATAGAATCTTTCAGTGTTCTCTTGACGCCGAAGCGTCGCAATGGTCCCATCAATGGGTCCTTAGGAAAGGGAGGATTGGTCATGCTGTCTTCCTCCAAAAATGGTAACACCCTCAACTTTGCCGCTCTGCTCGATGGACTGGTCGAGTCAGGTAAATAACAACCTCTTCAAAAGTAAACCCATGAACTTTTTATTCTGTCTTTCATGTTCATTTAGCATTTCAGTTACTCATTCATTCTTTCATATACCCAGCATTATTATCTTTTTGTTCCCTTTATCCTTTCACCTTTTTCATATTGTCTACTAAGAGGACATTCCCTTACTTTATCGGTGCTACTCAAAAAGAGTCAATATAATATATCTTCATTCAAAGCTATTCTCCCTTCTCATTTGCACACGTAAATATCTCTTTCTGCTTCTTCTTTTGAATTGTGCCTTACTTCATTTTATTCTTATTCTGGTTTCATTGATTATTTCTGTTCTTCTTTGCCTCAATATTTTTCTTCATCCTTTTTGAGAGGTGGTCTACATTTACTTAAACATTCTAAAATAGTTGTTAAATTTGTCATCTTATTCCATCTATTTATTGTAGAACGGACAGAGGATGTCAACCTCGTCATCGAGATCACGAGGAGAAACGATGTCTTGAAGAGAATCGAAGTCACTGTCGCAGTCGAGGTCAGTTTGCTCTTTCTGGTTAACGATTTCGAATCTTTAAAGGAGGACTAGTAGACGTCATTTGTAACATGAAGAAGAAAAAAACAAAAAGCAAGATTGTAGATAACTAAAATATAATTGCAATTGCTATTGAAAATGTAAATGATCTAAGTATGACGTTCTAATTATCTCACGTCAACTTTAGAATAACATTTCATATGCATTGTCGTTTAAGAGATGATTATTTTGAAAGACATCGATGCATTGCTAGCAAACAGAATAATCATCTGTTTTTTCATTTTTTCAATATTGTAATACAATCTCTCTTTCCAAACTTAAATAGGCCATCGACGTGGTGGATGTGCTCGAATCCATTCCCAGCACAATAAAGAAAGCGATCACGAAGGGACAACTGAAGATGAGGGTGACGGTTCAAGAGCAGGGTGACTTAGGAATGCTGGTCGGCAGCATCACACCACTTCGAACATGCAACAGTGAGTCATTTTATCAATTTTCATGACTTGTCTTTAAGCTTTTCAATTCATATTTGACATAGAGTATAAGAACTCGTTTTATCTCATTTCATTACATTTATATATATATATATATAAAATATATATATATATATATATATATATATATATAATATACTATAAACTCAACTGTAAATCTTAAAAGGGAGAATAGTAACAATAACAATTACACTTCTGAAACTAGACTTTGACTTTTTTTTTCACTTTATATTATTATGTAAAATAAAAATGTCTGACGAATTATCTAACCTGTAATTTGCAAGAGAGTCTACATTAAGCCTAGCTAATTGGCACTCAGAATATTATCTCCCCAAAATCAATTTAGTGATAGCATGTGCTCTTTTTTATAATGAATAAAAAAATCAATCCTGATGTGTTATTGTCTGTATAATCATTGGCAGGCATTCACGCTGTACTATCTGGTAGTCAAGCTCTAGAGAGATCAAAGACCACTGGAGCTAGTGGATCTGCGGTATTCACCCTGGATGATGATGGGACAATCAATTACATGGTAAATACCTTTATTCATCCATCTTTGCTTTGTCTATTATTGTAACCGCTCTGCTAAAATTTGCAATTGTTTACTTCCACTACTGATTCGAAAATAACACATTTATAACTCTTTGTATTTTTTTACTCGTCAAGGTTCGATTGACTGGTCTACAAACAGAGGTCAGTGCCATCACCATCGAGATGCCGAGCAAGAACAGACGGAAGATCGTGGCTGATATCTTTGGAAACTATAGGGATGGACTGGTAAGCAAAGCCAGGCATTTTCGCTTAAGATTAATTTATGAGACGAATGGTTATCATGGGAGATTTACTCATATACTTTTACAGGAGAATATTTCGTCCAACATTCGAAAAGCGGTACCCTTTAAATGGTGTCCCCGAACTCTCCTGACAAGAATGCCAACTACTAAACGTCACCATGTTCACTGAATCCAAAGGCCATTACTAATACAATGAAGTGTTGAAATATGAACTTATGAATCTCTTTCTCATTTGTGATGCAGGCTCAGGGCAAGTGGCTACGACCCAAGCTCCGTGATGTCCAGATGTTTCTCCACGGTGAGCTATATGTGAATGTAGCTACAGGTGCCTTCACCACCTCGGAGCTGCGTGGACGCATCGTCCAACTTCCATACCAGGGTCACATCAGAAGACATGCAAGTAAGTATACCTATCCCACCGCTGCCGCTCCTTAAGGATGCGTAGAATAGTCATTACTATTTCATCTGCTTAGAGCTAGAAGATAAATAAAACGCAAATAAGTATCCAAATCCTACTGCTGCCGCCCATCTACTGTAGTCCACGTTTAATTGTCTATTATTATTTCATCTGCTCCGAGTGCAATGGTCCAAATTTATCTTCCAAGTAAAAATCTACTATTCGTGTTTTTACCCATCTTTCCTTTCACTCCCAAAGAAATGCCAATCCAGATGTCGGGGTCCCTCATGGATCCCGCTCAGGAGACTGGAGCAGCCGGTCATGCTTGGCTCTTACTCGATGAAGAATGCTCCCTCAATTACGAGATCGCCGTGGTAGGACTAAACAGCCTCACTGAAGACGACATCGGGACTGACAGCCCACCGACCACGCCTCACTTCTACGCTGAGATCGGCGAGATCGAATCTGGGGAGAGCCGAGTTCGCTTAGTTCTAAATGCCTTTAGAGGAAACAGCGTAAGTAGCCTCATAATTAGAGGTCGAAAGATATTTCAAAACTTTTTGCTTTTATTTTCATTCTCATTCTCATAAACTATAGTTACGGTGCAAAAGACATAACTTACAGGAATTTCACCATAAACTGTGTTTCCTCCATTCTGTTGAGTCTATACTCATCTTTAGACTCTTTACAATTGACGTTACGATCCCCTTTTTGGGATAACTATGATTATTAATTTGTTCAGCTGAAACAAGAGATAAATTTCATATGTACAGATAAAAAAACACCCATATGAAAATGTTTGCACCGTTAAATGTATATCTGAGTTGATGCAGTGGTGGCAAATTGTGAACATTTCAACATTTTCAGCAAGTTATTAAGTATTTGCCTGGTAGTAATGTTCTCATTATATCTATCCCATTTAGGCCCGAGGTACGTTAACAGACGTGAATCCTGGATTATTGGAGAGTATGGACAGGGGACAAGCTTTTATTCAGATCAGTACCAAGAACCATCGAGAAGGCGAAATCAGAGGCCAGGTGAGTTTTAAAATACTTCTTTGAATTGGCAACGCTTGAGTGCTGCGGAAAACCTTTATGATTGGGTTAGGATATTATGAGTGTGCACAGTTGATCTAGACAGTGCGTACAAATGCTTAAAGGCTGATGATGTTGAAGCATATGATTATTGACTACAATCCCTTTAGTTGGTGTGAACTCATTAGAAGAAACGAAGAAACCGGCATTATTTTTAATGTGTCAGCTGAAATAAATGTGGATGCGACTTAAGGTGAGACTCATGACTGAATTTTTGATCCCAGACGCATAATACGAATGAATTTGATTTTCATGGTAATGATGATGGTGATGACGGTGATGATAAAGATAATAATAATGATGTTATTTTTCTTTGATTATCAGATCATCCTGCCTAACACTTGTCATGGTGCATCCAATGGTAACAACCTTGTCCCCGTCAACGATCCCATGCCCGCCATTAACGTCGATGACGACCCAAACTCGTGCTTCTTCGAAGGTCGATATCATGCTCCGATGTCGACCTGGTCACCGGACTATGACAGGAACTGCACTACATGCACTTGCAAGGTAGGGTTACAAAGACTGATAGCAACACATTAATCTGCATTTGCCACTCTCAACCCAAGTGTAGTAAATAGGAACCTGGTAGAATGTTGTTCTTAACGCACTGTGCACTGATAACGGCTGCTGGAGCTGAAGCAGAGTAATACTTTTCAAATCAATTTGAAAACGTTACATCATAATAAAGTGAAATGTAATACAAGAAGTAATATTTGAATCCTTATTCTTGTTTTCATGGACTTGTCTTTGATGATTTTTATCGGTAATCAATGTATTCATTAGCCTTTTCTTTACTTTTTCGTTAGAGTTCCTCTAATATCAGCATTTGATCTTAATTTTCATCGTTATTTGCCATGTTCCTCTCAACAGAAAACTGTGACTATCTGCGACCCTGTGATTTGTCCAGAGCTGTCATGTGACAACCCCGTCACAGCTCCTGGTGAGTGCTGTCCATCGTGCCCGAAACGTAAGTTCAACCTTTCATCTTGAATTGTCTTCACAATTCATATTGTCGATCTATAAAACCAATCCTTCAGTTTATGTTTACGATATCTTCAATTGTTGGACATTATATCTTTAGAATTTCCTTTGGATTTTAAGGTCCATTCCAATGTAATCGTACTTTGCATGAACGTGTTGTAATTAGTACATCAAAGTCACGCTCATTGATCTTGAATGGAATGGGGTATGGGATACTCGTATGACCCCCGATGAAAGTGTAAACTTTCATTTTAATTGAAGTTTGTGTCAGCTTCGTAGACAATCGAAACCCAAGGATTAAGCCTTGTTAAAGCAAGGGGTATTAGGCAATGACTGAATTAACTTAATTTCCGACATCTACGCCCGCTTCCTCACTGTCTTCCCAAAGGGTGTTGAAGTGCCAGTTCGGGGAGGGAAAGAGCTCCGTTATTGGTGTAATCCTTGTCAGGGGTAATTCACGTACCCCTATCGTCGCCAGCACTGCCCACCCCCACTCTGTTTAAATTATGTGCTATCTGATGGCTCAGTGCTAATCACAATCAGTGTAGCGGTGCACAACCGCTACTTCGATGTTTATTAGAGGGCAATGGGAACGACGCTGAAGAGTGCAATCGCATCTTCAATGTTTTCACTAGCAATCAATAAAAGAATGTCATGTTTGATCTGCGGGGTAATGATTAGAGGACCCTGGGTACGATGGCTATCAAGGAGAGTGGGAGAGACAAAGGAAGAAGGAGATGGGTTGCGAGGCGATGTGGATGACGAGATAAAGGCATTTGGTGAAGAAAAAGATAGAGGGAGGGAGAGAATGAGACAGAGCGACAGACAGACAGGGATTCAGTAGAAGTAAGAGAGACAGAAAGAGAAAGAGAGAGGATAGAGTAGTGATAGAAGACACAGAGACAGACAGAGAGAGAGACAGAGAGAGAGAGAGAGAGAGAGAGAGAGGAGAAAGGAGGGGGAATACACGGGAAAAGGGATGGAGAGGGAGAGAGAAAGAGAGATAAGGTCAATGTCATACTTTCGCATAATTCTCACGAGAAATTCTCGAGAGGCAGGAAAGGTGCCAAAATGGACGATGATAAAAATTGTATACTGCAATTCTTTGCCCTCAGGCTATCGAAACTATTCAAATGTAATGAACGGAGATTGCAAAATGAGTGTTAAATTGGATGCAGGTATCCAATTGCAGAAAAGCAGTGATTTTACAAATATTTTTTTATTTGCTATAATTGTATGACCATTCAGCAATTTGTCGGCGGAAAGAATCGATATTTGAAGTCTCTGTCGGCAGAAGATAACTGTATAAAGAAAGAAAAATATTTTCTAATGCTATTTTTTGTAAATATTATGTGTATGGCAATAATTCAGAGAATCATTCCGATTACTATACGATGATTTAAAAAGATACGGTACGGTATTATGGCCAAGACCGGCAAATATCATGGTTTAAGCTTAACTTTGGTTTCGACAATATGATAACTGCTGCATTAAACATGTTAAAGAAGTAAAGAATCAGCCGGACTTGTCGTTTATTATACAAATAATACACAGCAGTGAGGGCATTAGTAAGAATTGCCCACACGAGGTACCTTTGGAACAGTCTAACACGCCCGATGCGATAGCCGGGGGTGTTTGGGATGTTTCGAAGGTACCGAGTGTGGGTAATTTTACTAAATTTCCGAACAAAATGATGTGTATTATTTGTTTTATAAGATGATGTTTTATTTGTTTTATAAATTTGTTTTTTCTAACATGATTTTATACTAATGACAAATACCAATGACCGGTCATTATCAAAATTACGTGTTAGGCAAAATAAATGCCTGGTCACGTGTACCCTCTCAACCAATTTTGATTAGGATCCACGTCATCATTTTATTACAATATTTGTTTATCATTGCGCATTTTCATAGTATGGATATTTTTGTCCGGTAAACAAAACTTATCTTGTTTAATTGATATCGCATGTTTATTAGATTTTTTTTATTTCAATATTTCTTTCCCCCTTCTACTTGAAACAGCGGAAGAGCCGGAAGAGCCAGGCTGCCATTTTAAGGGTGACAAAAAGGTACATCGCGTCGGGACCCAATGGCACCCGTACATTCCCCCATTCGGATACACTAGATGCGTGCTATGTACTTGCATGGTTAGTTTGGATTAAGCCTTTCATTTCAAACGACTTGATATTCTTTTCTTCCATTTTCTATGAGTTCTCAATTTTCAATTGTTTGCGTGTGTGATGCATTTCAGATCAGCAGGGAGCGATGAAAGACATATTCAAAGGAATTCTTGCGAAAATACTTTTTTGGTGATGATTTATTGTGACGATATTTGGAGAAGCAGAATTCTTTTAAACTGAACTTACTCCTTTCACATTAACGGAAAAGACAAATTTCAAGCCTATGCCTTAAAATTGTTATGATGAATATTTTGGAGAGAATGTGGGCAGTGTACACATGATTTAGTCCTTCCATGCCTACAACAAATACTTGAGGAAAAAACAATGTGCTTTTCAACTAGCTTTAAGAGATACACTTCCTGTTTATTCAATTATTTATGAAGTGTTGGGAAAAGAATGTGTCTTCCATCAGCTTCAATAACATTTTATAAACATTCACGACAAACGTCATGAGTTACATGGTCTATGCTTTCGTTTCATTGCTGCAAACACGAAAATAAAAATGGAAATCTAGCGTGATATTTGTGAAAAGATTTTTAGTTATCTTTTGTGATAAAGGTCTGTTTGATTTATTTATACTTTATTGTTGTTGTTGTTGTTGTTGTTGTCATGATTATGACGACCATTTTACATTGTTATGGACATGTGATCATAATTATCATCTCTTTTAAAAAGAGAGAAAAAGAAGAAAACATTAAACAAAAACTGCCTTTTTTCACTGACAGTATCATGTCTTTTCACTGCATTTCATTTACATCTTGAAATTATTATCTTTTCATTATTATTTTTGTTTCATTTGCTGGAATATGACGTGATGTTGGTTATTATATTTGATTTTATAATACATGTGTTCCATTGTCGACTGTTCATGCTTATTTTGCTTCTGACAAGAAATGTAAATGTGGGCAATGTTGCACAAACGAATTAGAGCAATACTTCTCATGTTACGGCTTCAAACCTGGTCGGTTGATTTAAGTCATAAATTAGGAGCCGTGATTCTGATGTACTGTTTGGGGGACAATTTTATACGATCATGTATATATATATACCTTCGCTCGCAAATTTAATTCAATATGATGCTCCGTATCTCGTGTAATTTTGACTTGCAGTGGAATTTCATCACACTACAGCCTAATTTGATTCCAAGATGTTAAAATGAAGGTATTCAAATTCTCATAAAGCAATGAATGTTTTTGCATATATCCATCTTCCTATCGTCACAGAAGAATATATTTCACCATATTCGCGAAAACCAATACTATCACTATTGATTATTGACATGTTACCATTGGTCAAAAATCTTACTGTGCCTGTCTTCATTTTCTCATTTGCCTTACAGCCGGGTGGCAACCTAAACTGTTCAAGACTCGCCTGTCCGTCATTGGATTGTCCTAAACCAATTCGACTAAACGCTAATGATTGCTGTCAAGTTTGTCCAGGTAATGATTATTATTCAATTTGGTAAATCTGATTTTATCTAGAATCATTCCCCGGTGCAATGTATAGTAGTGGTCATTATAGTTTGATGGTAGTGGAGTATGTGTAAGTTTAACCGTTAACAAAGGTTGTAATAATTTTTTATGTTTTATGTTCAGTAGAGAAATAATGTTTTGCTTTCGCTTAAACTAATCTACAGATGTCATATATTCGTCAATTACGCACCTTGTATCACAGTGTCGCGTATTTCAAAAAATAACATAGCAAAAGCAAGATATGGATGAATCTTTGGAAGTGTTTGAAATATCATTTAAATACAAACTAAACCAAGCATGAAAACAGGGGGCAGTACTGTATTCTTTAAGCTCATTGTTTTTTGTTTAAACTTGCTATAGAACCAGAACCAACTACCCCACAACCACCAATGGACGATACATTACTGCAGGCAGATGAAGTAGAAAAAGGTAAGTTGTTTCAAACTGCATGTTAAAATCGAACTAAATATGTTAAACAGGACCCTGCCAGGACTTTGAATGTTTACACATATGTAATTCGAGATAAAGCAGATGTTACGAATGAAAGTGTATAAAAGTATGTGATTGTATAACTTTCTGGTACTTATTTGTCTCTTTGCGCAATTCATACTCATAAAGTCATGTAGTCTGCTTTTCGTCTTCTTTTTCTTCTTCTTCATCCTGTTTATTCCTTCTTTGATCAACTTCTTCTTGTTTTTTCCTCCTTTTTCTACTTCTTCTTTGGTATTCTTTTCTCATTTCTTTTCCTTTTTCTTCTTCTGTTTCTTCTTCTTATACTCATACTCCTTCTTGATCACCCTCTCCCCCTTTGTTTCCCTACACTCTTATCAATTTTCGTGTTGTATACTATATGTAAGGAATGGATTTCATCGACAAGTGCTGAATGTTGTTTATCGTACATTGTGAACCCGAAGATGTTGTATATTAGTTACATTGTTACAATGTTACGTATTTGCATGAAAGAATATGAAAAGGTGATTTTTAAATCCAAACATCCTATATGTGCATTCATGACGTGTAAAAGGCATGATTCGTATATGTCTGTCACCCCCTCTTCTCTTTATCCCTTTCCTTCCTCTATCTACCTCATATACACTGATAAATTTAACACACGATTCTTTGTTCTTCGTTCTTTTGTCTTTCTAAATCTGAACACCCTTTCTCTATTTTTGTTAACCGCTAATTTAAACTCTTTCTTCTCAATACTTTCTTTGGTCTGATTCTTCGTGTCTTTATTTACTATTGTCCATTCTTTCGATTACATTCTCCAAGTCCCTTGTGTGATGCTCACTTGTTTCCCCAGTACCCCCAGTGCTTACATGTCGCATGTTTCTCGTTTTCCTCCTCTCTTTGTAGGATGTTCCTTCCTCGGTGAATTTTATAGAAATGGCGCTGAATGGCACCCTCTTGTGTCACCATTTGGTACAATGAGCTGCGTCAGATGTAGATGTCGGGTAAGCTTAACCTTTGACCTTAATGGAAAATGTCCACCATTCCTCAAAGCTCTACTGGAAATGTTTGTCTCACCCAGAAAAAGTTTAAGTGTCAATATAATAACTGTGACGTCATGTTAAGTATTTGCATGAAATATTGAAGTTATCAACTCCAGCGTTATTGTAATATGTATCCTAGTGGTCACATAATATGAAGTGATTGTTTTTGTTGAATGTTCTTGGTGTTTGTAAGACCACAGTATGTTATTTTTTACACATAGATATCAAAGTTATGACAGGATAACTTAATCCAAACAAATTATGTAAGACTTGACAATATCCGTTTAAATACTTTTAATGGGTAAATACGATAACCGTTAAAAGTCTGTGGAACAATTTTTGAAATTGCCCTAGAGTTCTCTTGAATGTATTTCCTGATTTGATTTCCTCACGTTTCCTGTCCGGACTGTACACTTAAAAACACGATATCATCACATTTATTCATCACACTGATATCTTATTTTTACAGAATGGTCAGGCGAAATGCAAGGGAAGAACCTGTCCTCAGCTTAGTTGTAAAGAATCAATCAGAACTAAAGGCGAATGCTGCCCAAGATGTAAAGGTAAGATATTGCAGTGAGTTTAAATCAGCCATGACCAAATAATAACGAACTGGCGTCCTACTGTTTGGTTGAGCCTTGTACCAATGCAAAGATCTGCATGGAATAGAATGGCATACTGTAGTGTGACGAGTAAAAGAAATAAAGAAATAAAACTCTCTGAAATAAACAGAGACGAACAGTAAGATAGAGATAGAGAGAACAAGAGACAATGTACCTGGTAAGTGTGTGTGTGTGTTTGAAAGATTGGAGAGATACAGATATTTTGATAGATAAAGAGATAAAGAGAGAAAAGAGGGATCAGCCTGTGTTATGTTCAGTGATCCTCGTATCAATAGGGACTTTTAGATTTGCACGAAGACAATGTGGATTGCTACGATCGACGTCCTTTTAATGCACTGCCTTGAATGGACGTCACATGTATCTGTCCACGCAAATCTAAAAGTCCCTAATGAAGAAAATAGCGTGGAACCGAACAAGGTGGTGTGAAGCAAAGTAAAAGAGAGGAAAACAGAGAGAGAGAGAGAGAAGTTTTGTAAAGCGAAGTAAAAGGTAAAAAAAAAACAGGAATATAGAGATAGAGAGAAGGAGAGAGAGAAAGAAAGAGGCAGACACAGAGAGACAGAGAGGGGGAAAAGAGAGAGAGAGGGGGCTATATAACGAACTGTATGTACTTGACTTATGGCGTGCTTATGAGTAGATGAAGAGCAATGTAATGGAAATCATTCTTTATCTGTGGTATTCAGATTGAGAATCTTCAAAGCTCGTACACTTTATATTTTGTCAGCTACTTCTGATAGATATTAATAATTCAATTCAATTCAAATAATTCTATTTCATAACTAAAACAAAACATGCAAAGAAATCCTTACATAAAGTGAAAATCAAATGACATTTGAAATATAACATAGAAAATGAAGCTTGTTTGATATTAATCGATTTAAATGTCGACAATTAATCAAAACATTTAGAATACAGAATGTATAAGCATATCATAAAGTCGAATTTCAAAGAAAACGAGAAATGCTCTAAAAGGCAGAGATTTGATTTGTGTGGATTACTCTATAAAAAGAAAGAAAAAAAAGGAAGGAAAAAAGAAAGAAAGAAAAAGCAAATAAAATGAAATGGATAAACAAAATCCATTCGTATTTGAATAATAAATACATTTTTGTTAATAGAAATAGAAAAATACACAAATGCACTGCTCGGAAGGTAAAGCATTCATAAGCATGAATACATTATTTCTCGTAAAAAATGTATACATTTTGCTAAATGTTGCTAACATTTTATCTTTTACCGTTATTTCTTTGCAGAAGACATGTTAACAGTGCCCACAACATTACCAACAATATTAGAGATTTCTGCGGAGAAGAAATCACGGAGGAAAGAAAAACTGTCATAGGGAAGCGCCCATTTTCACCCACGAACCCTTAGATAGCCCCATATCCACCTTCAAAAAGAGACATTTTGAGATCATTTTGTTGTGGATGTGCCACACCTTTCCGAGATGCAGGGGTTGAAGAACAGAAAGGGACATTCAAAAGATGATGACTATTGATTGGAGTCCCTAACCGCCTGATTGTGAGATCACCAAAGATGGTGTGAAGATGATGCCGACATCCTCAATGTCAGAGGAATGGAAGGGGTCAGCTGTTGCAAGTTTAACGGACAAATGTAACCCGGATGCAGCAGTTGAATGATCACGTGATATTGAAAAGGTGGAGACGACTGACAAAAAAAACTACACTTATGATAGTGTTTGCCTCATGGGACAGAGATTGGGTACTGAACTTTCAAATTGATGCAGAAAAAATGAAAGAAAAAAAATCAAAGCATCACTGTATGACATCAATACCTTTACGATGCTTCCAAAAGAACGTTAAAACGACACGTGCGCACAACGAACGGAAGCATCCAGTTGATTTTGATTGGTAGCTCATCATGTCGCAGGCTTTCATGAAAATCAGATCATCGTGATAGAGTGACATGTTTACTTATGAGGACCTTAATAGGAATGAATGAAGTGAGATATGATTTTTATCTAAAAATAATATCTTTGCTAAAGTATTAAATACAACTCTGACCTCTAATATTGGAATCAACAAAATGTATATGTTTCATCAGATATTATTTCAATAACATTTTTGACGAACATTGCTTCATCTCATTAATAAGTAAAGGATATCTTGAACAGGATAATTAAACTAGTTAATTAGATCAAGGTTAAACTTTTGCCAAATATATTCACAATTTTTAATTTGTTAAATTGGGAATGAAGATTTTAAGGACACAGTGTTCATTTCATTTTTACATTATTGTAAGATCCACCACCCTCATTTGTCAACTAAGTATTTTAATATTGTAAAATGCAAAAATAGAGTAGAAGCCGAAATAAATTGCTGATACAAAATCGTCTTGAGGTGAAGTAAATTTTATTCAGATTAAAACTAAATTATCTTTTAATGTTGAAAAGTTCACAAGGTAAACGTAACATAATGAATGGAACATGATATTAATAATATAACACTAACTGTCATGTATCTAGGAGAAAAAAATATTATTATGGTTTGTTTCTGTCTATGTTGAACTTAAACGTGTGTGATAGGTCGTAAACTAATTGAGAAAACTGATCGAGAAACATTAATAAATAATAAGATGAGTAGATGACATACTCTACATGACAGATTTGGAATGTAGTTTGACAATAAAACAGTAGTCTAAAGTATTACCAATAGCCATATGATTAAAAAGATAATCCTCACATTCCCTATGTAATATTTTGTATTAAAAAGCAATAACTTTATATATTATCTGATAAAATTATTCGTATCTTAAACACGTTTTATTTACTCATACGAATAAAATCGTAACAACATTCTTACCTTCTTTTTCTCCTTTAATATTTAATAGATTGTGCTAAATATAAATAATTTCGAACGATGAGAAAATATATATAACTTATTTGAAAACGTGCGTTGCTCATCATTTATACACATCTTGACAACATGAAGACAATATACAGACTGAAAATGCTTGACAATCAACTATATACTATATGCGTTTGTTTGAAGGTGTTCAAGAGTTTAACTGATAATCAACGATGTAAAAACAATCTTAGTAGTATTATGATACACATTAATCAATACCTATAGACCGAATACTTCAGTATTTAATAGTGCATCAAGGCAATACGTGTTCCTTAATGTTGCGATTTTCTTTTTATTTATTTTTGTCTAACATGTTTTCCTTACATTGAGTCACAAAATGCATTCGCAATCATGATTTTTTGGTTGTATTCAAGTTCTATTGATTCCTCTTCGATGGGTACAAGACTTGGTTGAGATTTATAGATGTCTTATTTATTCTGTACAAATGCCAAAGTAAAAGATGTATTCGTGAATATTTCGCAAACATAAAATAGACAACATTTATAACTTTGATTTCTATTTTTAATCATACTTGTGCTTTATGTGTAGAAAGTAAAGTGTAAGATTAACATCGTGATACACAACTAAAAAAATGAATACAAAGTACATTTAGAGAAATCTAGAATATTTTGTTCTCTGCGGTTAAGAATTAAATGTTTTACAGTGCATTTACGTTCAATGATATATCTGTACAAAATATTAGAGCAAAAATATGATATTTAAAAGTCCTAAGCGTGTTAGCATAGGATGAGTTCCTTTTTATTTTTGTACGAAATGATATATCTCAAATTGATTACAATTATTTACACACTATAGATATTTTTTTTTTTTTTTTTTACTAGTGCGACGTGTTAACGTGTGTTAATAAATATGAACGAACATACAGTATTTTTGTTTAAGTGAATTTATCGGAGTGTTGGCTCAGTCAGTAGAGCATCCGCCTCACAACCGGGAGGTCGTGGGTTCGAACCCCGGCCGCGTCATACCAAAAGACGTTAAAAGATGGGAGTTGTTGCTACCTTGTTAGGCGTTCAACAGTAAGGGATAGAGCAACGTCGATCTGGCGCTGCTCAGTGGCTGCCGGGCTCACGATAAATTGGGCAAAAAGAATTTCCGTTTCGGTTTAATAAAATTTGGAGTAGACTATTAGGCTATTATTATTATTATTATTATTATTATTATTATTTATCATTCTCCTCGTGAGATATTCTTTTCTTTAGAATTATTTTTTGAAATCGTGATCCTTTGTGTGGACACAAACTAATCAGTAATACTATTCACATATGGCGCGAATTTCCACCCAGTGCAGCACTGTAAAATTCAAAACGCGCGCCTTAGTTTGAGTTCGTAATGAACAAATCTTGCAATGGTGTAGAAGTCAAAATCTGTTGCCTAATGTGGAAACGTATTTTTAGAGGAGCAGAGTCGGTTGTGTATAACTTGCATAAATTATATATTATGGATTGGTGTATTTAATACAGTATTGTTTGTATTTTGCAATGAACATATGTTGACTTGTGTAATTATGCTAAGAAATGATTGAATTTGACTATGAATAAATGAATTGAAATGATAAAATGAAAATTAAATTCAGCTGTTCATGTGTTTTATCTCTGTGCTGTGCAATATATTATGATTATATGTCACGTGATCTCATCTGACCATTTGGGTGACGAGTTCATATTTAAATGCATGAGTAAGCTATTTGTTACGAACCTCATGCACATTCATGTTGTTAGTTTGCGCATGAGCAGAAGACTTTTGAGGGGGGAAAAATCTTATTTTTGATTAAAAACCTATATGACCCTCTGCACAGGTAAAATTATTATTTTGTTATGCATAAATTTTGTTTTTTTAATATTGTGTCGTGAAGTACAGAATGATGTAATTGTTTATTCTAATGTCACCTTGTAGTGATATATTGCTGTACAGTATAGACATACTATTTCGTTAATCATCCCATATCTCTCCCTGGAATGCTTATATAAATTGGCATCGTACTCAAAGTGCATCCATTAAAGTTTAAACAATGCGTCAACTATTTATAAATTTGAGGGACTATGTTCAATGCCTGTTTTTCCTTATGGGGAACAAAAGGCAAAGGGGGAACCATTTCGCCATTTTGAACTCCTCTGTACAAAATCATAACTACAGTTGCGGAACCGAATAGAAAAAAATTACATTATGAATACAATGGCAAGAAATACAAAACATAGCTACATAAATGTACATTCAAAACATCACAGATAATATCATTGACGAAACGTTTAATAAAATAGATTGGTATCTCTGAGGTATGAAGTTTGATCTGAATAGCGAAGTTGTCGATAAGGATTTAAACTATGAATTTTGATAAAATGTAATTCGATTTGGTTCTATATCATCCCACCTCTCCACCATGTCCACGGTCTCTCTCGCTCTCTCTCTCTCTCTCTCTCTCTCTATCTCTCTCCTTCTCTTCTCTTTCTATATTTATATCTACAGTGTATCTCAATTTCGCTCCCTACCTCTCTCTGAGTGGCCGATCCTTTCTATCTAAACTTTTTAAAACCCAAATACTGGGTGAAAAATGCCAAACATTGGTTCACTAATATGTCAAACAAACATATTGGCTATCGTATGTCCAACCGGAAAATATATTGTCCGGTATCGCGCTATTATCTGCCTGATATGAACAGCAATTGGCCAAAAAAAAAATCTTTGGTGGGTATGAGAATGTTAATGGGACACAAAAATGCCAAAAGTTCAATAATTTCTACCAACTGTTTTCTAATAGGGTGCGACGCCATTTTAATGTCATACGCAATTTAGTTTTTACACCCGTTTTCCTCCCCTCCCTCCTAAATACATAATAACTCTGTCATTCAGCCTTTTCACACACAGCTAAAATTCATCGTATCTAGAGATGATTAGAATCATCGTAAAGTTTTAAACATGTTTATAGACAAAATTTCCCAGTGTGAACATCGTTTATACGATGTTGGGATAGATACGAAGTCGCGATCCATACGCCCCTAAAAGCAGGCTGCAGATACGAAGTTCGTATCTAGTGAGCTTGACATTTTGTGTGTGAAAGGTTATTCGTGTTTAAACGTGTTTAAACTGGATGGAGCGTGCGCTTTGATTGATGTGACATGACCTTCAATGCGCAATGGCACTACTGCGCATTTTACGAGCAGTAGTTAATCACGAAACGATTAACGATCGCACTGAAATTTCTGTGTGTGAAAGGCTCGTGATTAGTTTAAACACGTTCGAAACACGTTTATACTAGTCATGTTTATAGAATTTTAGCTGTGTGTGAAAAGGCTGATGTTCCTCCATCACCGTTCTGGACCATAATCTACCCCTCGCCACTATCGCTCCCTAACATGGTCTTTGTGTTCGCATTCCATGGAAGACGACCAACTAGAAGTCGTGAATGCCTATGTCCATGGATGGTGGAGAATCATCGGGGACGTTCAGCGTTAAATCACAGTCGCTGTCGCTCTGATCGTTCTGCTCGCTGGAGTAAGCCGATCCAATAGTCCCGGCGGTCCTACCAGTCAACCAATAGGTCGTCATCGTACCTTTGTCCTGAAAATGGGTGAAAAGGATAAAAACAATAGGACTCCTGCAAGACAAGCTCTGTTTTTTTTAAAGACTTTCTTTTATTATACATTTCCTAATATATTTCTGTGTTTTTTTTCGCGGACTATCGGCCGTGGTTTGTCGGTCTACTGGGATGCCCCCCCCCCCCCCCCCCCACTCCGGGAACGGAGGGACCGCATGCGTGTTAATCTCCGGCTTGTAACAAAAGAAAAAGGTCTACACCGGACTTATGCTGAAAGGGAGGGGGGCTGAAAAGGCTCGTATAGCAAAAGAAAAAGGTCTACCCGTATTGACTTTACACACCGGACTTATGCTGAATGGAGGGGGGGGGGGGTGCTGGGAACACTATGCGTACCCTAAAAAGCACTGAGTGGGGGGGGGGGGGCGGGCTGGGATGACCCCGAAGAAAAAGATGAAACGCATAACTTACCGTAAGTAGCACCTCGCCTCTGCGAACCATAGTGTATCCACCCGTGATCTTAAGAATGCGATGGCAATCATCACTGATCTGAATCCGATTTGCTGCACACAAAAAAGAAGCAAAAAAAAGAAGACATTTCTTATGCTAAGAGATTAAATTTGCAGCGTATAGACCGGTAAAGAACAGAAACTCTCTTAGAATGAGAAGAGTCCGTCCTTTAATTTACAGGTCCTCTCCAGACGTACCGGTGTGCGAACTGTGCTTTGGCAGATATATGGGCATTCACAGAGGGGATGGTAGGCCTACCTGCTTAACTAACGCTGGATATAATACGCCTGCATCTCTCCCTCATGTTCTTCCTCATCCAATATCAAATGGCGCCCTTTCAAATGAATCGCATCGTATTTAACCGCAAAGGGATGTTTTAGATTTTAGCTATAGAGGGATGTTACTTACGTAATCCATTCGACTCCATCTTAGATGCAATATTGACAGTCTCGCCAAAGAGACAGTACCTTGGCATTTTGGAACCAACAATACCAGCTACCACCGGTCCTACAGGTAGAAAATGCATATGATACCTTCATGTAAAACATATAATTATTGTCAAAAATAGAGAAATTACAAATGTTCGTTGTTTAGCCTTTATCACTTTTATGTAGCCTCATACACATGCATATTTATTTCTCCGGAGTCGGAAGTGGCATAATTATGTAGATTGGTGTTGTAGTTTTTTCATCTAATCACTGAATAGTCACAGTACTTTTTATGTCAACAACATTTTATGCCATAATTAACTTCACATCTGGTAATTTACATGCGAGAATCCTTGCACATCCTTCCAGTGTTAATTACGCATATTGTATTCTTTCGCACCTGGACTTGATATATTTCGTAACCATGGTTCGTTTTTCTGGATTGATCAATCACGGCCTTCTATAACCACATTTCTCTCGGAGAACTTCACTTTCATGTTCGTCCTCTCTTCGAGCGGTACGCATTAATGGGACAGTCTTTTAGTGATTTTAGCACCCTTTTCGTCCGGAACTCTCGGGGTCTTTTACCTCCCAATTTATTAGCGAATGAGTAACCAGGCTTCTTGCGTAATGATAGGGAAGGATTTCGGTGATTGCGATATTTTCAGACTGATTATTTTCTAGCTGTATAAATTTAATCGGGGACTTCATCTTCTCGAAAAATTCCGCTGTAACACCGTGACAGTAGAAGTGTCGACATTGGAATGTTCTTACTCTTATAGTGACGACCTACGCTTCTCCACTAGTTTTGATATTTATTTTCAATGATCTTTGCAAGTATTCTTCAGAAAGCTTCAAACCAGTGGTGAGTGGAGTCCAATCCTTTTTTAAAGAATTTTACAATGTCTTGGCAATGAACGATAGTCCCACGGTCGGGATTCGAACCCGTGCCATAATTATACTCTGAAGACTTGTTTACGATAGTACTAGCCCGTATGACACGTTTAGGATCACACTATTGATCC